CACACACACACACACACACACACACACACACACACACACATAACAGTTAATCAAAGCCAGGGATTCTAAGACTTTTCAGTCAGCCAAACCCCCTTCCACCTAAAATATTTATAAAATAAAATATAAATGATAAATAATAATATAAAATATAGATATTTCAATACATTAACAACACATTCATATGTTCACAGTTCTCTGATGTAAGATTAATGATCATAAGACATGCAGGTAATCCATAAAAAATTCACATTTTTTTTATATGTATCTTTTTTTTTCTATTTTTGGTCATCAACTCACAAACCCTCTGCAGTTCCCTCACAAACCACAGTTTAGAAAATCCTATTCTAAGCAAATGATAGAGAGATGCTCAACCTGACCTAAAATTACCATGAAATGAATGGCAATTTTAATGTCTTAATGACTTATGTAAATGTGTTTAACCTCCATAATTGTAGCTCTGTCACAGGGATAAGCCATTAAGGATTTGACCTTATCTTGCAAGGGTATAAAATAAATAAATAAAATAATAATAATAATATACCTACAGTATGAAACCAGTGAACACCTAAATATCTAACTGCTAACAGTGTGCTCTTACATTGGCAGCAGATAATATATTTTCGTTTTACAGCTAAAATATTCATGGTGACACAGTGGTGTTTATAAATCAGTAGCAAAAACTGTAAAAAGTAATTATACTTTTAAATATAATAGCTTTTAAATTCAATGAAGCAACTCAAGAGTTTCTTCGTTACTAGTTCTAAAGTGACGTTTTCTAATTCGTAATTAGCTTGGGCTCAGCTGTTAAACTGTCAACTTGAGATTTGTGGTGGAAGGAAGTAGTTCCGCATACAATAGCATTTTAAAAGACACCCAGTTCTTGTTTCTTATTTATTTACACACTTGTGCCATTAAACTGTTGTATAAAAGCAATATCATACTTTTAGTGTGATATATAGATATAGACAGGGGTGCACATGTGGTGCACAGGTGCGCATACACGACCAAAATAAAAAATGCACTGTGTTAATAAGTTCAGACTGCTCATTTGCGTGCACTGACGTGGTTGGTCACCGACGTGGTTGACAGCTGTTAATGCACAATCTACGGTGGCAGAGAGAGCTCAACACGCTGCAAATGAAAAAAAAAACATGCAAATAGAAAAAAACACCAACAAATTAAGAACACATCTTAATCAGTTTTTGCTGCAAATACTCGCAACACAACCAAATACAGAAATGCGCTGCAAACAGGCCTAAAAAAAAAATGTTTAAGGGAACCTCAACAAGTGACAAACCTGGCTGGGACATGCTTATCAATGTCTACTCTCAAAGGTGAAATTTTTGTTTAACATCCTGATCATATTTTTGGAGATTCTTTTTTTTGTACATTATTAGCCTAAATAAGCTGACGAAATACACAATTACTACTGTGAAACGTTATGTAAGCTGGCTAGCTAATTTTCACAACTTCCCTTACGAAAATTAACCATGGTTTTACTATATATATATTTTTTTTTAAATATACATATCTATATAACTTCCTGCCTTTGTGATCGATGTCACACCAGTTGTGATATCTTCACACACACCTGTCTTCGCACACATCATACATGACTTGTATTTTGGAAATATGATTTTGTGATTTTTTTAATGAATTTTTCAAATATACAAAAATCTATATTACTTCCTGGTCATGTGACCCAATGATGTCACACCAGTTGTAATATCTTCACATAATCCTGACACACATCATTCACGACTTGTATTTTGGAAATATAATTTTGTGTATTTTTGGTGAATTGTTGATGTCCCCCATCAGAGTCCCCCATCTCTTGGCACCACAAAGACAGAGTCCCCCATCTCTCTTGGCACCACAAAGTAGCAGCTGTAAAACCCGCTCTCCAGCTCGCTCGGAGGGACTTGCTTCATCGCTCCTTTCACGAGCAGGCTGTGAATCTCTTGTCTCAAAACAGGAGCATTTTGAAGCAATGTCAGTGGTGGGGTCATGGCGTTGAAACGGGGTGGTCTGCGTCTGAACTGGACAAAATACCTGTGTTCTATTATGCCCAGCAGCCAACGCGAAATGCCCGGAATAGCTCTCCACGCATCTAGGAACTGACATAACGGCCGTGTCTCTCCGTTCGCCATCGCTGGCAGTGATGTTTGTATACTGGCACCTCACCAGGGCTAAGAAACACGCTAGCAGGGAAGCAGCTTGTGGAGGATTACACCGGGAGGCCATAACAGGCACAGACAGTGGCTCTGCACTGCTCTGAGGCACTGCTCTGTGTTTAAATTGAGCAAACAGAAATATGAACCTTGCATTTTTCGCCTGCAGGAGCAAGGGGAACATAATGCAGGATTCGGCGCTTGACTGGAAGTACCAGGAGTCGAGCCAATTCCTGGCAGGTTCCCCTGCCCAGTTGAGGTCGCTCAGGGCGAAGGCTCTCGTCAGTGAAAAGGACTGGGTGAGAGGAGGGCACACCAGTGACTCGCTGGCGGCAGTAGGCCCCGTCCCCATAAGGCCACGAGTGGTGCTTCTCCGAGTCCTCAAACACATGCCAACAAGTCAGCTCAGAGCACGCAGTCAGACTTAGCGTAGCCTCAGCGTGGGCCAGGCCCAGGCAGGCGATGCAGTGCTCATGTGGGTCCAGCGGATCGATGGGGCCCACGCAAATTCAATAGAAGGTGCCATCAGATGCGGTGAAGAAGTTCTGGTGTGTCTTCGACAATGGCAGCGTGAAGAATAAGATTCTGAGGCAATTGTCACTCTCGCCACATTTATACTGCCCGCGAGCTTGTCAGTAATTGCATGCGATTTGCATAAGTAGCGACAATTGGCCAGTTTATTGAACTGGCGTTATCGTATAAGATTTCAGGAAATTGGAGAAGGGGAGGAGCTCCCAATCGCAATTCTCGTAATGTAGAGTGAACACTCGATAGGGAACCGACATTTCGTTGCCGGCAACCTGCCAAAATAAACGCTTGCTGATTTTGAAAAGAATGAAAATCCATATAAAAATAAAAATTTAAATAAAAACAAAAATTTAAAAATTAGCATTGTATTTTTAAGTGTACTATAATATAATTCTATTTTTATTTAAATACTAATTTTTATCACACTCTTTATTATTTTGTTTATTATTTTATTTAAAAATACAAAATAAATAAAGTGAAACAATACTATTATCCCTTTTATTCATTATTTTATTTTTATAGTTATAATTAATGAGTCAGACTATGTGCAGTGTGAGCACCAAACCAAATTTACAGGTGCTCTCATGACTGAAAAACGTATGTGCACCCCTGGATATCATATCGCATGCCTACTTGTGTGATATAGCTCATATATAGCTCTGGGTCCTTCACTATATATTGTCATGTTGGGTTTTATTGTCTATGAGCGCTCCTCATTCATGGCACTTTCACTAAGACAGACGTTACAGTACTTGAATGATGAGCGCTCATGGACAATAAAACCCAACATAGCAAAATATAGTGAAACAAAAAGATCCAGAGCCAGTGATATCCTTACCATTACTGGCTTGGGCAGGTTTCCATCAGGACAAATGGAGGAAAGAGGCTGGCCAAATAGCTTGTGAGAGGCAGTTTGTGGGTCAGATTGGCCATCGGATTGGTTAAAGTGTCCCCTCCTCAGAGCCCAATCAATCAGAGACCTTTTCCTTTTATGTTTCAGCAAAGCACCTGTCAATGAAACACAACGGACCAATCACACTTTGGCAAATTAATTATTTGGAAGGCTACTATTCTGCTGATTCCAGTTTGTTTAGTTTGACAAATGGTTGCATCTACTTTATTTTAGAAAGAAGGGAGGGAGAGAGAGAGAGAGAGAGAGAGGGAGAGAGAGAGAGAAAGAAAGAAAAACAAGGAAAATTGCTCCCTCTTTCAAGTAAATGTTTCCTCTCAGCATTTTAGTGTCACTAAGTGTCGC